TGTATAAAGTTGTGTGAAATTGTGTGAAATTAAATGACATACGTATACGTATTATCTCTTATTATTCTTATTACTCTTATTACTGTATTAGCATTAATAGATATATATACAATAAAGTAATAGGACTATGAAACGCTGTATGGCCAAAGCCTGAAATGGTATAGTAAAATTCTTGAGAATGCCGGTTTATATACATAAATATAAAGAACCTATAAATTTTTATTTATTATATTAGATATTAGATATATAAAATATAAAAAACATAAAGTACTACAGTTAAGTGTGTAGTTTAGACCTTTTTTTTAAAAAAAGTTTTTTTTTCGGAATCTTCTAAATCCAATTTAGGCGTTTGATATGGGCGTTATAGTACGCGGGTAAATTTCGGGTCTTGCCGCTTCATAAATGTGGGGTCATAATCTAATTATCGACTAAAAAGTAAATCGTCCACGCGTATAACTTTTGAATGCAACATTGTTAATTAGTGAAAAAGTTCATTTAACTTACTAAATATATTTTAACTTGCTAAATAAAAAACCTTTTGGAAATCAAGGTTAGTACAAAATAAATGAAATTTCTGTTTTTTGTTACGTATTTCTGATGTGTATTTCTGATGTGTATTTCTGATATGTATTTCAAGGTGCACCCTTTTGTTATATTAACATTGTCACTCTTACAAACTTTCATATACTTTTATATACTTTCATCTACCCTCATATACTTTCATATACTTTCATATTATACTTTCACCAATATGCTAGCATGCTAGCATGCACGAAAATATTAAAGTCTGGAATCACGTGCATGAAAAACACTGTTTTAATAAGTTCATGTATAAAATAATAATAAAGTGAATTGAATATAGTTAAACACTTTACGAATGTAACTCATGAAGATATTAGAATACTGTAGTAGAATTCGCGATATGTTTTTTTATTTATCTCGGGGTATATTACGCATATATTGCGCATATATTACGCATATTTTATATTAAGAATTGTGATTATCAATTGTGATTAGATGTGATCTTTGTGATTATTGTGATTTAATAACTATTTAACTCTATTTTACTCTATTTTACCTTACTTTACCCTAATTTACCCTATTTAACCCTATTTAATAGTATCACATACATTCTTTCGATAACCCCAAGTATACATGCGTATATGCAATTTTGTTGAGGAAACAGTATCTCACTATTGTAGATCTAATGGTAATTTTTTTTTGCACATGATAAATAAATCAAGTAAACACGCGTGAATTAAACATATTAATAAAATTTGGTCTTTTATAATGAACCAGTTGTGATCAAGGAGATATTCGGATCCCGACAGCTTTATTCTGAGAATATTGATTAAATGCTTTTTAACAATGAATCGAAAATCCAAAATGACAATCAAACACGAGCTCTCTCGCCACTCCTAAAAGATCAACAAAATAGCAACAAATTGATGATCTTTACTTACTTGAAGTTTGATGAACCACTCGCATAAGAATTGTATATTTAGTTATTTGAACTCTTTCAATTCGTTCAATAAAAAATTGAGCTAAAAGGGCATGTGTGTTGACAATATATATATATTTTTTTAAAAGAATCATTTTTTTAAAAGAATCATTTTGTTTAAAAAAAGAATCATTTTGTTTAAAAAAAGAAGCATTTTTTTAATAAGAAACATTTTTTAAAAAAGAATTGTTTTTTAAAAAAGAATCATTTTTATAAAAGGAACATTTTCTAAAAATGAATTATTTTTTAAAAATGAATTAGTTTTTAAAAATTAATTATTTTTTAAAAGAATCATTTTTTTAAAAGAATCATTGTGATAAAAAAAAAAAAAAATCACATTATTTTTGAATGTTTATGTTTGGAATTTGAAAGGAAATTTGATAAATATTACGGTATACTTATGTGCATGTTATCGAAAGATAGAATTCCGGGACTGGTTATATTTGTTTATTTGCAAATTTTTGATGATAAAAATTTGTCGATAAAATTTATCTTTTTGCAGACAAACTTTGAATTTGTTTGTTACTCTCATTAACTATCCGCATGTTTAAATAACATTTTTAAAAAAGTTAATTCCACACGAGAAGTTATAATATTCGATCATACGTCGAAACAAACACCTTGATTCGGAAACATTTTAACCAAATGTCGTCTATTTTAGAAACAAATATTCAAGCGATTAATATTAATCTTTGTAATTAAGATAAATTTAATTGTGAATTATATTCTTTCTTTTACATATAAATAATAATCATAATAATAATAATAAAAATAATAAAAATAATAATAATAATAACCATAATAAAAATGTTATTATAATTATATTACCGATAGTTTGGCGTGCATCATTACCTTTGAAGGTTTAGGCTTTTCAATCATACTTTACTATAAACTTGTTGACAATAGCGGTAGTAGGATGATTGATACGATGACCGTTCCTATTTCCTATTTATGGACGATCAACTCGTTTTTTTTTGTCTAAAAAATTTCGCGAATGACCTATTATCTTGTAATGGAAATATTATTTATCATTAATTGCATTTTTTTTTTTTTTTTTCTGATGGGCAAATTACGGTAATGATTAAATTTATCTCTTACAATCAATTCAATCCTCAATCCTGTTATGAATCATGAAAACTTATTTCTTGTAAATAAATTAGAGGTTTTCTAATATTAGTAACATGGTAATTTTATATAGTTAGTATGATTTAGTAACATTAGTAACATTAGTAACATTCATTAGTAATATTAGTAATATTAGTAATATAATAATGGTAATATTCGATATTGGTAATATTTGGTAATATTTGGTAATATTTGGTAATATTGGTAATATCGGTAATATCGGTAATATCTGGTAATATCGGTAATATTTTTAGTGATAAGTGTCATATTCCCAAATTTAGAATACAACCATGAACGTAAATATTTAAGAGAATTCTTTTTTTTTTGAAAGTTAAGCCAACAAGGAATTCATAGAATCGTATTTGGAAAAGAATAGGGTGGGATGAATTAACCCTAGGTATCAATATTACATCTACTTAACGTACGTAACTAATTAATGATTTGTTATTATTTAATTGTTAATTGTTTAAATGGGGCTTCAGAAATTTAGGGTCGCATGTGCAAAAAAAGACAGTAGAATAACTTTAGAATAATTACTGGTTTCAATTATTATCAATCAATGTATCAATTAATGTATCAATTAAATGTATCGATTAAAGTATGTAAAAGAGCAAACAGAGATCTTTATAAAATTTCTTATATAACGCAAATAATACCATCGCCATAACTTGGTTGTTATAATAAGCCACTCGTGAGGCACATTCTATGCTCTAAGCAAAACATTGTAACATACTCTGCTAAGCCACCCCAGCATTTGAGTATGTTTGTAAATATTTTTATAAATATATGGCTTAACATTCAACTTGCTGGCTTGTTAAACTTCTGAAAGATACGTACGTGTATGTGACTATATGCTAAAAAAAAAAAAATCGTGTCTCATCACTTTAGATACACGTAATTCATTATATGCATGTATGCAGATCGGTCCAAATTCAATGTATTATATTTATATATCATTTACATCATTTTAATGCGGGAGAGAAGGAACAATGAGATTGTTGAACATAAATTAAAACTTTAAAAAAAAAAATATCGCATACGATATGAAATTCGAAGGTTGCTTCCATGACATAAATGATAAAATGGAAAAAGTGGATTGATAATCTTATCATATAATAGATTCAAATATATTCAAGTAGAACAAGATAAAAAAAAAAAAAAAAAAAAAGAGATGGTAGAGTAAACGTGTTAGCAATGTACATTAAAGACGCATGGAATGCTATGTAAGAATTTTTTTTTTCTCTCAAATTCTAGAACTTAAAACCATATTTGAAATATATACAGTATTATTTAATTAATTTATAATTTACAGGGGTATTCCTTATTAAAATTGGTAAAATAATGCTAAGAAATGACTGAAAAATAAATATCACAAGATTATCGCATACCTCATACATGTATGCATCAATTTATTTATTATTATTTACATTTGTGACTTGTACGAACCTAAATCATCATCATGAGATGATCCAAATGTATTAAAGGGATTTATGATAGTACTGAAATACAGTATGAACGAAGAAATAAACTAGCAATTTGATAAGGTGTCTTCGCTGGGTATAATTAACACAAGGAAATTCGAAATTCTAAATTTCCAAAAATAGTGTGAAGTATGAATCTTATATTCTATGTAAGGTGAATTCCAAAGACAAAGAAATCACTGAGTTATTGAATATTGATATTTTATTGATATTACTGATATTACTAATATTACAAAAGTTACTGATTTACTTGATGTTACAGTATATCGATATATATCATCAAAGTTAATTGTCCGAATATAAAATATGCTTCAAAACATACGTATAGGATAAACATATAGGATAAAGATATTCCGCTAGTAACACGCATAATTCATATTTTTCGCGGGAAAAACTTGAATTGGTGGAATCATAAAAATTGCTCTCCTTTGTTCTCTTCGGTTCGTTATTTAAAAGGAAAAGATTTGTTGACCGAATTTATCAAGATTATGAAACTCATTCAGATAATTCTTACACCCCATAAATTTTCTCAATCAGTATTTGTGAAATGTAAATCAAGGTAAGAATCAGGAGATAAATTATCAAAGTCGAGAATTTAGAAAATTCACCTTTGTATACCTTTGTATACATTTGTATATTATATCTTGTATCTTGTATCTTGACACAAAATGGGTTTCATTTAATGTATAACTTGTAATGTATATTAAAAAAAAAAAGTAAGTAATAATTTAAATATCTTACATGATAACTTACATGATAACTTACATGAAAACTTACATGAAAACTTACATGAAACAGTTACAATAATTAATAAGAAACTTAATCATTTTGATCGGAAGAATTTATGACAAGCTTAGTCGATCATAATTCTTAAAACTTCATTGAACCAACCGATGAGCGCAAATGCTTACAAAATTTTTAATTTACTGGATGATCAAATGGAAAATATTAAAGATGAAAATCGTCCAAAGAAGGATAAAGAGAAATACATTGATTTACTGCTAAATGTATCTTGGTATATTTAGCTAATTGGTTTGTTTGCTTACACAGAAGATTATCATAATGTAACTGATAAAGTTTAGAGTAACTTTCCCGATTCGTTCAAGGATGACCAATAATTTGCTCTGCAGTGTGATGTATGCTATGCCGGTTGTATTTAATGACTTATCCGAATGTTACTACTTTCAGCAGTGAAGTAATAATTTACCAACCACAAGTATCTTGCTTGCACCTTGTTTCCTTCATGCTCAAGGGGAAGCACCGTACCCGAAATCCATATTATCATTAAAAGATTTTCTTACGAAAAATGCATCATTTATTGGTGCTTTTAATTATTAAGTTATATATATGTTGAATATCCGTATGTGCAGCATATACATGCAATGCGACAAGAAAAAAAATATTTTTTTTTTAAAATTTTTTTTTTCTTTTTTTGCCAATTTATTTTGATGAAAATTTGCGGGTAACTTTATCAATTTAAGTTACTTTGCAGCAAAATTTTCATTTTTTTTTTCGAAATACAGAAAATACAAGGATAAGTAGGCATAACTGCGCCACCTTTATAAACAATAAATATTTGATGGACAATCCTTTTTTAATATAAACAAACTAATACACCGGGTATCAGACCTAACCAAACAAATAAACAAATAATGTCAAAATATCGAGTTTTTTCTGTTCTGCTATTAAAAAAGAAAACAAAAACAAAAAATAAACACATGCAGGGTCTATTTTTCTTAAAAACAAAGCTAGGTAGAAAAGGATTTCAAAATTCGATCATTTAAATGCCCATTGTTCTCTCATTTATAACATTGATTTTGGAATAAACCTAAAGTCAGTCAATGATTAAATTACTTCTCAATAAACATGTTACGATTTTATCTTGGTTTGTATAATATATAATATATGATTGATAATATGTAAATTTGATTATAAAAAAAAACTAATTATGAAATTAAATATTATTACTGTATTAGAGATGTTAGTGAATAAAAAAAACCAATGCAATTTTACTGGAATAAAAGATATCATATTCTTTAACTATCAGTTAGTCACCCTTGAAGATCATTTGCAAATTTTGAAAGATGAATTTTACCTTTTTGTCTTTTCATTAGATTTGTTTTGGTGTATATTACGACAATCCCGCGGGAAGAATTTGTGACCCGATAAAAAATTCGTAATTTAATTTAATTAAATGCTATCAGCAGAATCATCAACAGGATAATCGGCAGAATCGTCGGTAGAACTGTCAAAAGAATCATCAACTGAACCAATTATGGAAATTTCTTTTACTTGATGCGTCATTTAAATAATATAAAAAAAAATTAAATTGTTTTATGATTGTTTTATACATATTAATCTATATTGCCTCCGTAGATAAATATATCAAAGGTTTCTTTTTTAGAAAGAAATTTAAATTTGTGCATAAATGAATGAAGTTATCAATTGCAATAATTCGAATAATTTAAATAATTTGGAATAATTTGAATAATTTGGAATAATTTGAATAATTTGAATAATCTGAAATAATTTGAATAATTTGGATTCGCGGGTCAATATTTTAAGAGTATATGCTACCTATCGTAAATTCCGAAATCAATTGTTAAATATATATGTAATGAGCATAAATAAACTTCAATACTTTAAATTATTGGGCATTAATAATATAAATCAATTAGTTCCAAATATAGTAGCATAGCTTTATCCTTTTTGGTTAAATAGGGGGGTTAAATACTTTAAATGATTGCTGATACTTACTTGATTAAGATAAAAGAATTATCAATTACACTAATCCATTTAACAGAATAAGGTCAACACAAAAGGCCCTATTTTTTTTGACCCCCTTACAAATTTTGCACCCTTTTTATCATCATTCACCGGTGCATTGTGCCACTAATCTAGGTAACTTTGTTTAGGTAGTACAGGAAAACAGGAATGTCCCCATGTGACTTGAATACGTGAGACAATTAGTATGCCAAACCTTCCCTTCGGGTCTAGATTTTAAACGATTTTCCTATATTCGATAAATAAGAACTTATCATAGTATGTTGTAATTACACAACCCCAGTAACAGATAAAGGTAAAAATCAAATTATTTTTTTTTTGTGTCAAGTTATCTCTGGAAATAATTTCAAATAGCATTTTCAAATAATATTTCAATAGAATTTCTAATAGAATAGAATTGAATAAAATTGAATAGAATTTCAAAAAAAAAAAAGACTCGCCTGACTGGAGTAGTTAACGCGTGGGCATGCGTGTTTTTTTTTTTTTTGATCTACTATTTATATTCATGATCCACTTCTATATCTTTGCCACGTTTTCCTTCCTGTCTATTTTCCTAAAAGAGCCCTTATCTGATTGTAATTAAATCTGATTCGTACTCGGAACTTGACCATGTGAAAGCTCATTTTTTATTAATATTCCAAAAACGGTGTTCACAAATCTTCCCACAATCCAACTAGATACCCGTTCTGCTCGCAGAAACTATAATCGTATGTAATATGATTTTGCACCAATAAAATAATGGTAAAAAAGAATTCTTTGAGATAACAGGTTACATATTATCGCGTTACAGATATCAATATAGATAGGTATAGATCAATTCGCACGACAAAAGATAACGATAAGTTTCATATATACACAATCACATATAAAATTTTTAATGCTCTTGTAATTTGTCATTTTCTGCAGGGGAATTGAAACCTTCTCGTTTAACACGTACAGCAGTGATGTAAAAATGAGTGATGGCTAGCTTTTTCAGGTTATATTGGTTGAATGACTAGTCATAGACTAGTAATCGACTAGTATTTTACTAGTAACTACCGGTTATCGTGCATACTCTTCTGATATATACTCATTGTATCAATTTTTTTTTTTCTCGTATAATCGTTATTGTTTTCTTAAAATATACTAGTTTGGATCTGTTATCTTTTCGTTTTATTACTTTTCCAAATATTTACTAACATCACGATACATTCTTTCTTTTTTTTCTTTGCTTGTTAGGTGCATACCAATAATAAAACATGATTACAAATATTCTGAATAAAAAACATCGTGAGCTCAAATTTACATGTTTATAGCTCAAGTTTACATGTTTATAGTTCAAGTTTACATGTTTATGAGTCAACATATGCACAAAAAAAATACCCCGACCACAAACTGGCCTATTACGGATCCTCATTTTGAAATATCCCTAAACGTCAAAACATAAATCCACTTCCAAATAAAAGCAAATATCAAATTTTAAGATCTCAACAAAATATACACAAAATAACTCAAATATATCTAAGCAAATAAAATAATAATAATAAAGTATCTTGCATGTACATGATCTTAAAACTTGAATTGCCAACAATAATAAAAAGCTCGGTCAATAATTTTTTTAATAAAAATGGTTCAATCTTTTATACTATAAAAGGTTCTAGTTTATTTTTCTTCTTTATGTTGTTTTATGTTGTGTAATCTCTCACTTGTACCAAGAATTGCAAAAATTTCAAATTCATTGATATATTAAAAACTCATTGATATATTAAAAAAGTTCAATGATATATTAAAAAAAGTTACAATGTTCCACAAGATAGCCCATTTCTCCAGAGTTATGATTTTAACATCCGTTTTTTTTTGTATTTCTGCGAATAAATCATTTGTTCTTTCCAAAAAATACGACCGTTGTACAATTTATAACGCCTTTATTATTAAGACTTTTTGAGAACCAAGAATCTGATTTTAAGAACTTTAGTGTAACAAAGAGCGGATTAAAGTTAACGACCAGTTCAGAGTTCGTACCAGAATAATAAAAAAAGGGTCACCTGTTAAATTCATGGGTTACACCATTGAATATTCCCGCCAATTTTTAAAAAGCGCTCAAACCCACCCATGGAGTCAAGTACTTCGAAAATTCTTTAGTACATGTTTGTTTTGTCCCTCTATTCGGTGTTACTAGATGCATGATAAGAAATTGATAAGAGATAAAACTGTCATATTAATTCGTGGTACAAATAATTAACAAATCTAGAATGATTGTGTAATTCTTTTGTAGTACACTATTGATCGGTTTTTTCCGGATCTAGTTTTGATTGGTTTTAATTATATTGCTTCTTTTTTTGTATATTTTTTTTGTGCTTAAGTACGTCGAAATTCCACGGAGATGGTAATCCAGTTGCTATTGTCTAGACTTTATCTCTCGATACACTCATAGTACTCATATTACTCATATTACTCATAATACTCATAATGATACACACGAAATTCAACACTACATTTCAATCTTGTTTCCATAAAAACTTGTGTTCAATTTGTTATCTGTTATTACGATTATTACTATTGTTACAATGGTTATCACCATACACTTAATCCATTTAGAGGTTCCATTTACCAGTACCAGTAGTTCAACTTTTTTTTCACGCGACGTTATCTTAATGTTGCTGATTGAGATTAATCATTTATTGAGACTAGTCACTTATCGACTGTAACAACTTTATGTTTGACAAACCCCAATTGTGAAGTCATCAAATCTTTCTCGCGTATGAAATCTTTATTTATCAAATGACGACATATATTTGTATTTTTACTACGTATCAAATTCCTATCATGGTAATTATTTGATTAGATAACAATTAATTCAAAATTGTAATGTGTATTTTATTACTATAAATTCCCTTATTTGTATAAAAACTTTTTTTTTATTTTTTTTGTCAAACGAATTAAATCCATTTACTAAGATCTTTGTTCAAATCTTGAATGAATTATTACAGCCACAATTCCAGAGCCAAAGTTCCTGAAATTCCTGATCTTGTTCAAATTAGGGTATGTCAAGATTTTCAAGAAATTATTGATCGAGAATCATCGGTTATGATCGAAAATTGTTAATACCAGTAAAGTATGTCTTGACAAGATTCTTTCTTTAAAAATACATTTAATTAATTTAATTATAGAAATTTAATAATAGAAATTACGTGGTAAAATTGTATAATCCTTATAATAAATAGGTTAACCCTTCCCAAAAAAAAAACTTGGCATTTAACGTTAAATAAATTAGTATATTTGATTATTTGATTATTTAATTAGTATATATTAACCTTATAATTTATCTATTTGATTCATCTCTTTTGATTTATCTATTTATCTAATTTATCTTTAAAAAAACAATTGTATAAAAAAGTATAAGACAAAAATGTCTATTATCATCCGAACATATATATGATTTGTATATGTTTATGAAATTTATTTGTATATTTTTTTTTTATGAAATTTCTTTGTATCGGTATGTTTCAATATTCTTTGACAAAAAAGCTTTAGCGGTAAATATAAAAAAACCCAAACGCATATATGATCATTTACACCCATATATGCGTTAACTAATATTAAAACTTATACTCTCAAAGTAAGGAAATAAGATTTATCTTCCCCCCCAAAAAAACATACGAATCCAAAATCTAACCCCAAATCTAATTCTAACTCCAAAATCTGATACGAGAAATGGTATATACGATAATCAAATTGATGGTAAAAATCATTCCATAATTTCATAAATTACGTAATTCCATAATATTAAAATCGTTTCAGGATTACTTCCAAAGAACGATGATGATAAAGCTAACATCAAATGATAAGATATATAAATTGTCATGCGATAAGATATATAAGTCGTCATACGATAAGATATATATAAATCGTCATGCGATAAGATATCTAATTTAGAACATTCGCAAATTTTTTTTAAAAGATTCCGAATATTTGATCTTATTAGTTATCGTTTGATTCTGAGTTTTAATTATGACGTAATCGGACGTAATCTTTATTTTCTCATAGTACGACTATGATGTTTCAGCATTTACGCAGATCGATAATATCCGTGAATGGATAACATGAATAACTGTGCCACAAATGTGTCGTGAATAAAGATGCAGACATTTAGAAAGTCAAAGGTAGCTACCTTTATTACGTCACCTTTACGGCATATAATATACGTCAATACATCACTATATACGTCACAAATGTCACTGCTATATTGTTATTTGATATTCTAATGTCTGTAGCTTTAGTCGTAAGGAACTGACGAACAACCATGTGACTAGTATGTGACTTGTATATGACTACGTAGTATATGACTACGTAGTATATGACTACGTAGTATATGATTACGTAGTATATGACTACGTATATGACTACGTATATGACTAGTATACGCCACAAAACTTCCCGCCAAAAACTTGGCTGCACAGACAACATTTCTAAAAATCAAAAAAGAATTCTGAATGCAATAGAAAATTACATGCATGAATAATAATCCTAAAAACGCCATACATTTCGCTTTTTATCTCAGGAATTTTATCTAGTGGTACCTTTTACCATAATTAAAAGTCATGCATCTTTACGTTCGCCTTTTTCGGATATTTTTATTTCATAATAATAGAAATTTAGAATTAATAATACATTCTATCCACTTACATTCTTTAGATTACATTTTTTACGATTATTCCAGAACCAAAAAAAAAATGAATTGCATATTATTGCTTAATCAATTGTTTTTTTTTACAGTTACTTTGTAGTTAATTTGTAGTTAATTTGTAGTTAATTTGTGGTTACTTTGTAGTATTCAATGTTGATTGTCAAGACACCTTAATATTGTTCCACATTTTTCTTTGCCTAATACTATCGGAGATTTGCCGGGTATTTTTTTTTATCTTGTAACTCTTAAAAGTAATTTCATTTGTCTTATAGTATTACTCGATTTGGAAAGGGTCTCAAATTAACATTAATTTTCTAATATGTATGAATGCTAATCGATAAAATTTAAGTTCGCTGATGTCCTTTGTGTTCGAAAAATCAATGCAGGGACTTATTTAACGCTAGGAGAACAACGAGACAAAATATGATAGGTGCGATATTGAAAACGGAATTGGTATTTTTTTCCTTTTTTTAAATAATAATAATAATAATAATCATATAATAAAAATGATAAATGACTTGCTTTTTTTTGGTAAGTAATTTCGAAATACATTTCGCGGAATTGCCGAATCTAAAATTGCTTATAATATCATATATCATATATCATATGACCTTTTTTTTTTTTTTTACTACATAGATAAACATTTTTATCGATCAAAATCTTAATATCTGCTATTATTATTTATCTGATATTATTATTTATCTACTATTATTATTTATCTGCTATTATAATTTATGATATTATTTACAGTATGATGGGTTGTAATAAACATGAAAATATCAAAAATTTATATCCCATTTTTTTTAACCTTGAAAAACAATATTTAAAAAAAATTATAAGTTACATCTTGGGTTATAAAGGTTATACAAGGTTTATTTTTTTTTATAAAAAAAATTCGGATGAAATTTTTAAAGTAAAAACTAAAAAATATTAGTACAACATTGACCTAGAAATACAAAATACAAAAATATATATAAGTTATATATATATATATTTTTTTATGATTTAAATTTTTGTTTTGATCGGCTATGCATTTCTTTCATGGGCTACACTATGATCGAATTTCTGGTTCCCTATCCTGTTTCATGAATATACTGCAGTTTTTCTTTTAAATTCGTTACTTTAACATTTTGCTTATAACGTTAATAAATAATAATAATAATAAAAATAAAAAAAAATTAAAATTTCGAAAAAAATATATATCAAATATATCAAGCAAGAATTACCAAATTCGATACGAAAGTCATTGATTGGTGTTGGTCAGGTGCTGCAATTTTGGTCAAACTTTAAAGCTTCTATCGGAATTAATAACACCGAAAATTTTCGGATTAACTCCGAAAACTTAATGATGAAAGTAATTTTTTTTTTTTTTAAGTTTGTGGAGATGATTAAAAAAAACCTCACGAAACGCGAAACCCCAAATGTAGTTCCCCTTGTCTAACGCCTTTTTTTGAATCGACCCTATTTTTTTCACGCCACCGAATATTCTTGTTATTCTTGTTTCTAAAGTTATCCAGAGTTATCCAAAGTTATTCAAAGTTATTCAAAGTTATTCAAAGTTATCCAAAGATATCCAAAGTTATCCAAAGTTCATGCATAATATTTTGCATACAGGGGAAATATCAAAAAATAAAAAAAAAATAATCGGCAAATTACATTACATCTTGATGATTACGAATCAACAAGAAACGTGTCAATTTAACAATAATATGGTAAGTTTCTTAAATAAGCAAAAAGAGCAAAGTTTTCATATTGAATTCTACTTTAGATGGTATCAAACAAACTGATTTTAAAGAATATAAAGTGCGATTGACAACAAATATAATGCATTATAAAGGGTTATTTTGAGTGTGTACAAACTAGAAGGGCGCCTAGATCATAGGTACGAATATCATGTTATTTTTACCATTTCCTGCTTACATTCCTTCTTTGGGTTATTTATTATGATTCGTGTTTTGTGTGAGAATGAAATAGATCACCTTATTTTGGCTTTGTTTCCCGCATTACATGATTAAACTCGATGCTGCACTACGATAATGCCAAAGCAAGCATTGGCGGAAAATCTTAATATATAGCAAAAAAGAAATCTTGAAAGAATTAATATACCCTATTTAACACAACAAGATGTACGTATAAGCACATACTTTAATATTATATTATATAAACAATTAAAATTCGGTACGAATTTATAATGGTTTTCAACCTATGTCCTAAGATTTAGTCCTGCGTCAAAAAAAATGCAAAAATAATGCAAAAATAATGCGTGATTTATTCATGACCTGTAAAGGTAAAATCGCAGAAAGTTGACCGGTCTTTACATTTATGTATTATGTTCAGTTATGCGTGTATATTTACGTGGGGAAATATATGTTTAATATTTATCCTTCTTTTACCATTCTTTTACCATTCTTTTATCATTCTTTTATCATCCTTTTATCATCCTTGTATCGTTCTTTTATCAATGTTTTACCATTCTTTTATCAATGTTTTATCAATGTTTATCAATGCTATGCCTCCAAACTGATGACTATGTATAATATTCTTAATAGGTTCATTCGTCATTTCAATTTATTTATTGCTATTAAATTATTATTTTTAAATTATTGTTTAAATTATTGTTTAAGTAATTATTTAAATTATTAATTTAAATGATTATTTAATGCTTAACTTATATTACGCGTTCTTTATCTAGAGAGCATTTTCATTTCATCACGTGAGAGACACCCTCTTCACAAATTCTGATTATCATTCATTTTTTTACTTACCTGTTTATACAAGGGAAAACAAGTCCTTTCTGTGTTTACTATTTATGGATCATGCGCATGTTACGTAAGATTAGTCAAAAGATAAAATACGATGATTGGAGGATAATGATTGGAGGAATTAGAATTGGAAAGATTCGTGAGACAGTTGTATGTAATCTTTGTGCAACTAAAAACGTATAGTATAGATCAGGCACTTACGTACGTACTGTACGTACATAATACGTACGTACGTATGTAGGAAAATTCAAAGTGAACAGCATATAAGCAATTATTTAAAAACGCGGTATATATGGATATGCATCATGACTACTAACATTGGAGATATTAATATCATTTATTGTTCATAAACGCGTTCTTTTTGCGACAGGATAACAATGATTAATTTATCTATCTATTTCATTCTCTGATTTCAATTGTACTCACACAAAATAGTATGCTTGACCTTATTGAAACTTGCCTATTATATCTTCTTCAAAGATTTTCTACTTTTAATGCTAATTTTACTAATTGAAGAATATCATTCAACAATTAACATATACATATCAAAAATGCTTTGATATTTTGATAATAATCTTATGACATATTGTTCTACGTACAATAATTACGTATTAAACGTTAATGAACATCCATAAATTGTAAAAAAAATGAAGTATTAGTATAGTTTTTAAAAAAAACATAGCCATAGTCACTTGCGCCTTTTTACGATGTAAAGATTAATTACGTTTAGCCATCAATTTTTTTTCATGGTAATTCCAAGCATAAATATACCCATTAATGTCTAGAACCTTTATCATGTATTACATAACCTAGTACAGTTTAAATTATAAATAGACATGAATGACGAGTCATCACCAAAATCAGGTTTCTATTGTTTAAATTAACATAGCATATATATACGTATATATAATAAAACTAGACTAGATGTACTAGATGTACTATATCGATATAGTAGTAGTAAGTTGTCGGCGTTAAATGATATTAAACTTTACACGGAGCATTGAAAGTCAGGAACCTGTTTAAGTGCATCGTTTAATAATAAATATCTAACGTACCAAACCAATGGTTTATTTTATTTTGAATCGCGTTTTGAAATATTTGTTTATTGCATTTCTGTTAACTTTTTATTTGTTGTCATCTATTATTGTTTATATATACAATTAAGCATTTAAAGCCGATCATGTAAATGCTTTTTGTATGGTGTTGTCATTAATGCTATAATCTATTCACAATATCCACAGTCGATATTCGTAATATTTATCCTTAAAATCTTAATATCCTTAAAATTTACCCGTAATATTTATAATATCCTAATATCCTTAATACAGTATTTATAATCTCCGCAATATTCACACTATTCACAATATTCACACTATTCACAATATTCACAATATTCGACACTATTCACAATGTTCACAATATTCTAAAATATTCAAAATATTCAAAATATTCAAAATATTCAAAATATTCAAAATATTCAAAATATTCAAAATATTCACAATATTCACAATATTCAAAACATAATATCCTTAATATCCATAGCATCAATAATATTCGTAATATCGCGTAAAATATGTAATTAAACTTTAATCTTAATGATGTATATTCGGATAAAAAAAAAATCGAATTTAACTTTTATAGTTTTTAAGATCATAACATATAAAAGAATAAGTTGCTAATTTTGAGAATTTGAGAACTTTCCATCAAAAAGAATAGTTTTACCGCGCATATATTGATATTTGATTCTGTAATCACTAAATCAATCGCTAAATCAATCACTAAATCAATCGCTAAATCAATAATCGATAAATCAATAAATTAAATTGAATAAAAACGCATTTGTTCAAAAGCTAAAATTTCAAAAGATATATATATATATATTTCGCATCATATACTATATACATTAACCACTAATGAAATATACAGTAAGTATATACAATATAATAAAATTATATTTTAATAAGAATTAACGTGACACATAGACTTTGTACTTGTGTATGAATTTTTTATTCAAAGACTTTCCTTTATTTCCTTTATTCTTGTAAAGATGTACGTTAACGCAATATGAAAATACTAACCAAACATCTTTGCTCACTTACTATAGCCTTACGACCAAACCACTTGCTTTTGCATACATGAAATTTAATTAAAACTGAGTGAGAACTCGAGGCAAAAAGGCGTTTTTTTATAGTGTAAAAAAATTTATAATAACGAAAACGTATGGATTAACCTTATTGATTCTGATTCATGACTCTGATTCAATAATTTTATCATAGTAAAAAAAAATAAATAAATAAAAAATGTCAGCATTTAAACTGCAGTTACTTTCGGTAGATGCCGCATATCACGTCTCAGAATATGTTTCTTAAAGTTTACGCCTTTTCACAAAGTTGCATACATTAAAATCATTTGTAAATTCTTTTAATATCAATTAAACGCCTTCAATTCTATCAAAATTGTCAAAGAATGATCTCCTGATCAACAAAAGTATCAACTTGTGTGTTCTAAATTTGTGTTTAGCCAATCGAATTTTTTACTAATGCGTGTATGTATAAAATTTATGCGCGTAAGTTTTTTTTGGAGCATTATCGATACGCGTAACTTTTGTTAACGCCTCACATCTTTGTTTATCTGCAAATGAGCTTTACATAACGGAAAAAACAATTTTTTATTCTCATTCGATACCTTTCATGCTACTCTTGGGTTAAGGCCGTCGTTGATCTTAATCATCATAGGAAACAATGATCCTTTCATTGGTTAGTTTATAATTTTAATATATTTAATATTTATTTGTTCTTACCATTTCTTTTTTTACTTTTATTATTATTATTATTAAGTTCTAAGACTTTTTTTTTTTTTTGAGGAATGGTTTGTTGTGACAGGTTTATGCAAAAATATCAAAAATATCAAAAATATCAAAAATGTCAAAAAATATCCGTACAAATAGGTAACAAATAGGTGGTTTGAGCTTGTTATTTACTTTGTACTCTTGTGTACGCGATGAGACATTAAAGGATGATTTAAAAGAACAATGTATGAAGATTTCTGCACTAAAACACATCAATAATCTCAAAAAAAGGGTCCCTTAGATAAATATGAAAGTGTTCGAGCGCCCAACAGCATTTTATCATCCATTATAGCTTGTGGCTAAGTATCATGATTATTATTATTCGGTAATACTGAATTCATCACAGACGAGATAAAATATCAGCTGATCGTGATAAAAAAAAATTTTTTTTTTCCTTTTTGTGTTCACTTTTTTTTCACATTGATAGCATATATACGTACATATATATATATATACATATCGCCTTCTCAATAATTTTTACTTCTTTGGTTTAAGCTCCGAAAAGAATTTTGAAATCCCGAAAATGAGGGACCGTATCTTACACAACATACGTTTACAATGAACTTATGGCAGTGTCAAATTAATATACATTCTTGCAGATTCTCAAGCATTGTCTGTCAACTTGTAGTTATTTCATAGTTAAAAGAAATCATGAATTTGCAAGTATTTTTATAAAAAAATAGTCACTAACTGAAAATAGGTGAGTATGTAATTTATTAAGGGTACACACATATATTCTTATATATTCACTAACGTAAATAAAAATAATACTATTAATAACGCTTCGTGTCATTAGTAATTTTCAAAGTGCATTAGATAATTGACAAGAAACATTCAAAATATTTGTTAAAAAATATTTACAAAAATAAATATTATTTTTGTATTTTTGCACAATTTATATAATTCATAATTTATACGTATCGTTCAAATAATTTATTATTATTATTTTTTTTTTTTAATTTTAACAATGTTTTGAAACAACAATCGATCCAAGAAAAATTATAATCAGTAAGAAAATAGCTGCAAAAAAAAAAAACTAGAAATTTTACGCCAAATACATTCTTGTTTAACAAATTTTCGCGCAGGGACATACTTTTATTTTCGTGATACATCAATATGCAAGGGTTCAACCATAATCAGAAACGATCAATGATTAAAAAAAACTATTAAAATTTCTAACTGACCACTGAAATATTTTCATGTAATTAATTCTGTAAAATGACGAATCGAAATAAATGTGTCAAATTTCTTAGGTCCCGTAAATAATTCTGCCTGTAAAACAAACAAGTACTTTTGTTACCATGTGGATTACATAAACTGATCACAAGGATCTATATGTTAAATGTTGGCGCAGTATATCGACGCATATACTGATACAGAGTTATCGGTATGCTCCACAATGATCTGTAACACGATAGACAGAAGTGTACTACAATCGGTTCTTACCATGATGGTTCCGGCTAGTACTCATTCAAAATTTATATCTTTCAATAAAAAATCAAATCTCTTTAAGCATATATTTTACCAAAATGAGTATTACCAATTTAGTTTTATTGGTGACTTTACGTACGCCTGTGTATTCAACTTTTCCTCTTTTCGTTAGTGACTCAACGTACAGAAAAATTCATCTCGCATCTCGCATCATCAAATTACGAAAACTCTCAAAAATAAAGTGTACCCCAAAAAAACATTATACTTAAAACATTATACTTAAAACATTGTACATAAAACATTATACATAAAACATTATACATAAAATATTATACGTACGTAAAACATTATAAAACATTATAAAACATTATACAAACATAAAACATAAAAAAAATTTATACATAAATTTCCAGTAGTGATTACTAAAACATCACACGATAACAAATATATAGTTTCCATATCTAGAATCACCACTTTAATATCACATCTTAATTATTTCACAGAGGCTAAAAAACTCATAAAGAAAATTAAGATCATTTAAAAAAAATTAGGCAATTCGAAATTAAGAATGTAATTCTCAGAATTGACGAAATTCTCAGGAACACAATGTGTTGACACATCTTAATGTCGAACAAGCTCACAAGACCATGAAAAAAAAAGAAATAGGATTACTTCGAATTCCTAATCCGATCTTTCTTCCGTCGCCAAAAATCAAAAAGACTCGTTACACATTTCCGCATCAGCCATCAAGACGGTACGCATATTTAAATTTATAATTATATGCGTACAATCTAATTGGGTAATTGGCGTCGACCATTGACATCACATTCATCGAAACAATGAATATTTTAAATTAAAAATTAACAAAAAAACTTTCGTGTTGACGTATACATTATATGTAACCAGTTCTATTAGGAATTTTTTTGCGCCCTGATTTTTCATGTATTTATATCTGTATGCTTTTTAGATAGTGAAAGAACCCCAAAGCATTTCACGTACGTACGTACATACTTTATAATCTATCTCCCCAACCTAAGGGGATAATGGTCGAGATTAGGAATTATTAGGAATTGGTGATTATTCGATTTTAGATCTTTTTGGATTTGAATAGATCGAAATTTGGAGTTTTGTTGACACTAGCTTAATTTAGTATTGACAGCAGTTGTTGATCTATTACCTAGCATAAATTTAATAACTTATAAAGCATCATTCAAAATACATCAAATACATCGAATACATCAAATACCATCAAATATATCAAATATATTATTAAATACCTCAAAATATATCGATACGTATCGGTATAGTGATTTAACATATATATTACGTATTAATCAATTAGAATTTAGGGTCTAACACATTTTAGTACCCTAAATTAATCATTTTAATCATTTTAATCATTTTAATCATTTAAGAATTAATAAACGTATGCTTTGACCACTTGTTAAATGACTCCGAATATCTTTGATATTTGTAATACTTTAATTAGTAATGATTTTATAATACTTTTATAATAATGCTGTTATCTAAACGTAGGACAAGATGGAAGATTAAGATAACCGTTTTATCGTTATATAATTTAATTATACGTACATTCATTTTGTTTTATCAAAAATTACCATATAAAGTAATTATCTGAATGGGAATTATGTTTAAAGATAACGAAGACGGTCCATCCTTTAAGAGTTACAAGATTATTTCCTATCTTAATACGTCTTGGCAAAAATGACTATATGTGTTACTAGATTCATAACATCTTACTCAAAATGCGATATTAATAAAAGATTTGGCGAGAAAAAAAAAAACTTAGATATATATATATATATATATATCTATTTATATAAAGATTTTCATATCACAATTAAAGAATCATTGTTTACGCCAAAACACGTCATTGGCACACCTGAAGCTTGATCACGGTGTTACACTCATGACTAGTATAAACTTCGTATGGATAAAGTTCAAAATTAAGTTAATTATGCATTCAATCATAATACCGAATTTAAATAAATGAGCTAACAGTCCAGGAAATAACCTGACCTGAAAGTTCAGACACGGGACTTTGTTGACATGAAAATCTTTAAACAAATTACGAATTTAAAATTGCATGCTGTTGCGATTTAAAATAATAACACCATTATCTATACCTGGTTTTTCTTAATACAAGAAATTTCAAGTGTTTCTTTGAAAGGCAATTCTTAATTCATACTTCATACGTAAAATTAGTAAAGAAATATAATCTTTTTTTTTTTTGGAAAAGATCCGCGTGATTCGTTGTTTAATAAAACTTGTCAATTGATTGGTTATCTAATTTCTGTTTTTGGAAACTTCATCGATTAGAGTTCGCGTTGATGGTTACCGTAATGTCGCGCGACAGATCCGATTTTTTACACGAGATTGTAATCCAGAAAGATTCTATCTTTATAAGAAATAGTATTGAAATAAAGTTGAATTAGATTTTATAAGTAATAGTATTGAAATAAAGTTGATTTAGATGTTATCTTTTTATTCATATAAAAACATTGAGGGTTTCACTTATTGTTACATTTTACAAAATTATTAATCTGAAAGTCTTTTTATGGATTTTTTTTTTATGGTTCAATAATTATTGAGAATCTTTTTTATTTGAATGAATCGCGGAATTACGGAATGAAAGGTGTAATTTTATTCTTCTCCTTATTAGGAAAGAGTAATATGGTGTATATACCATATTACAAAATTACAAAAATTACAAAAATTTGTAATGGTTAAACTCCGAAATTTGCGCACAATGTATTCCTAAATTTATATATGTAGCATATATGTAGCATATATGTAGCATATACGCAGCATATATGTAGCATATACGCAGTATATATGTAGCAAATACTTAGCATATACGTAGCAAATACTTAGCATATAGAGAAATCTATTATCAATAATATTAAGTCACAAGGACGGGGCTTATCTATTATTCAATGGTTAAAAATGATTAAAGTAATTTATCACATTAAAAGTTTTTTTTTTTTTTTATTGTAAATCACAAATAATGATCTCTGTAGACTAAAGAAAATATAACAATATACATAATATAAATATTTTTAATATCGAAAACTTTCCATATTGTTGTCATTGGCGTTCCGTGTGAAATCTATAAAATCGCCATAGGTTACAAAGCGTGTACAGTTTCTTTATGTTATTGTCATATTAGTATAAAGTGTTAGTATACAGTGTTAGTATATGAGACACCCTCGGGTATGTCAAAAATTTAGTATAAAACACGCGGTGTTACTAAGACATATTTAACATTGTCCGTATGACATGAAAAGAGTTATTATAAATCTTTCCAAATGAAAAAAAAAAAAATTTATCCGAAAATTTATTTATTTGGTACATGTGGATTGCCAAAATAAATTTACTTTAAACCTTTGGGAACCAAATTTTAGGCCCTTTTAACAATTATAGAACCCTTCAAAAAAAAAAAAAAACCATTGGTTATAGTATTTTGAGGACTTTTTATCATATATTATGACCCTATTCATTTGCAAAGCCCTATTCATGGGCTTTTCTCTACATAAATAATTGTATTTTGTTGACATTTGCAGGGTCATTAACAACGTATATTTGTTGTATAAATTAAAATAAAAGATTTGAAGTTTACATAAATATTTTTACTGTTAACATTTGAAAAACAACAAGATTTCTTTTTTTATACTAGTAAACAATCGCTAGATTATCAGGCAACAAAGAAAAGAATTGTCTTTTTTTTTTTTGAGAATATATGCTAAAGATAAAAAAGATAAATAATTTGTGATTCCTTACCTGAAAAACTTTCAAGGTTTAGATTTTATTTGTTGAAAAACTAAACCTTTTAACCTATCAATAAGAACAAATCAATCGACCATGCCACTAATACAAGAATTTATCCTGCGAAATCTCAATTTTGCATGCAATTCTTTCCTGCTTTCACATATTTGCGGCAGTGATGATAAATATTTACTTTAACTATTTTGTCAAATTCTTTTTTTTTTTTTTTTTTTTAAAAAAAAAAAAATACACTCTTTGTCGAGCATATCACACAATATTGTAACAGATCTGAAAATTTTCTCTTAAAAAAGATTTTGTTTCCATAAACACGATTGAATGCAATTTAAACCCCACGTTTGTTTGTTGTTTTTTTTGCACACAAAGTTTCTTCATAAGCCTATGATAAATTTACCAAGCCATGGCTCGTTTGTTTCTAATTTGGACTTGATTTTTTCAAAGACTAATTTATTTTATTTATTATGATATTAAAACACCATAAAAACATATTTCAAAAATATTGTGAATATTTTTATTTGCAAAAACGGTTTGCTTAGTGCATAGAGAAATGTGCCTCACGAGTGGCTTTGTGAATTGCGGGGCGTGAAGGCCGGATCAAATCACGTGATTTATTAAGTTTGGGAGGTGATATTACATCGTTTCGGAATAATTGGCTGAATAATTGGCTTGTTTTATTTATTTTTCGGAATCGCGGCTTGGTTGTACTATTTGGCTTAAGTCCAAAAAAACAACGGCTTGGTCAAGTCGCGTGGCGAATTTAAATATCATAAAGCAAAAAGAATTAATATTTATCCTTATTATGTTAAACAAAAGTTGATAAGATATCATCTATCATAGATTCTGGGGGACATTGCATTAAAGCCACGTACATACATACATTATGACCGGTTTTTTTAAAAACCTGTCGTGTGTTTGATATCGCTGCGCTTTCCAAAACAATAGTTACATAAAGAAGATGTGATTGTAAGAATGAAATCCAATTTGGTGATGCTGTGCATTTTGAGTATATCAACGATTTTAATGTTATCGGCACGAATATAAACACAGATCAAAAACAAAAATGCTCAGCAACTTGAAACCAAATATGCGTTTCCGTTTTCTAATCGGGTCAATGTATAATGCAGAAAGCTAAGCATAATATTTTTAAAGAAAAAGGCGTCGCTTATCAATCACATGCTGAGTTTTCTCTCAGCCTATTACTATCTATACAAAATTTTGATTTTTTGGTGGAAGAAAGGGCCGAAAATTAGAAAGATAAAAAATTATTTTATAATTTTTGATCTTCAAGCTTCTTGAACCCTCTGCGAAATCATACATAAATGTCATGTGAATAGATTGTTGAATCTAAATTTGGGCACTTCTAATTTTTAATGTTTTTATGCTTATTTTGGGATTTATTTGTATATCCAGAATCGAGCTTGTCAAAAAGATCTCGTCAAGCGCTTTAATTTCTTGAAAATTGGAATGATCAAGACTTTAATCAGGATTCTCAAGCACAAAATGAAATATTTGACACATAAACCAGCCTACTCAACAAATTAACAGTTTATCATCATGAATTTAATTTCATGACCGGATTTTTTTTGTGGATTTGCAACATAAATGAAGCAGGTATTTGGTCTCTTTAGTGTCGATTCGTATTTAACTTTGTTAGGTGTTTTAACCAAATTTTACTATGTTAATTCTTTGACAATAAATCTTCATTTCAATGTTATCATTTATAATATTACTTATTTAGATACATAAATCGTAATTTTGAGTGTAATGACAGTCTTTCAAAAATCACTAGCCTTGAAGTTATCCATAGAATTAGGATCAAATCTTTGCAAAAGTTTCTTTGTTTTTTGATAAATATATAACCTGAACAATAATTCTCTTTTATGAATTTGTATAACGAATCATTGAATAACATAATAAAAATCTGTCACAAAATATACGTAATAAAGACATCATGATTTTTGTCATTTCGTTTTTGTAATATATATACATTGATTGCGAGAAGAAAGTTGAAAGCTTACTTTTGAAATTAATGTTGTCCTCGAGTTATGACACAAGCAGAAACTTGACAAGGCATATTATAAATATGTGATTTTTTTTTTTTACTAGAATCGTGAATTAGATATTTGATTTACTGTAACTCAGAATTTCAAGTCTTGTCTTGGATTGACCTGTTTTATATGATATTTTTTATATTGACATCAAATTGAGGTATGTGTAAATAATTTTTAACGATCGTTTATTAAATAAGAATTGTTTTCGTAACTAACATATTTTCAGCCGTTCAATACACAAATTCTTTAAATGAGATTCTCTCATATATTTATAAAAAAAAAATAAAATGACTATTATACGTACGTACCTTTTATAGTTAACAGAGTTCCTACTAAAATATGATACTATTCTTAATTTCGAATACTTAATATTTTAAATACAATCGAATCACTGTTATATTTCCACTGAGTTTTATATCTTAAACTAAGTTATACGTATTCTCACCATTTAGCAGAATAAATATCCCTATATTTACTAAGTCTTGCCTCAGTTATAAAAACTCTGGACAAAATGGATGATATAATTGAGGGTTGACAGTAATAAAACTTTTTAATATCCTAAGGATCATAATTACTTCAAGTGATTTAATATGGTTAAATACGCTATTTCTTTTGGAAATTCGACAAGAAATGTAGGCTTTAACTGAAAAAAAACCGTCCACAGTCATTACGAATTATTTTGAGCCATTTCACACCCAAATCTGGCTAAATGATCGACAATTTTTACCAGAATTATAGGCGACGTCTTTTTTTTACCGTTACATGATTTAGTATTAGTTTAAGGTTAGGATTAGTTTAAGGTTAGGATTAGAGCAGGTTAGAGACGATGAATATATCTATAGTTAATACACGTCACTCTGGTTATATCGATATCTGTATATAACAACATCTGGTTATAATGGCATTTTTAAAAATTTTGAACCTATCGCTATATATCGTAGAGCACTGATCAAAAGACTCAGGGTCTAATACAAAATACCCACCAAAAATTTTACAAAAGATCGGGTATGTGCTGCAAAGGAAGAAATTTTCAAGCACATGTAGATGCAGCATTTACAATAAGCAGTCTAGAAATTTTAAAAATCATAGAAATTTCGTGTTTTACACCAGGATATTTTGCACACGGTGTACTCAAAGGGGTCTTTTGGTCTGCTCTACGGTATTTAATACGTATTTAATATGCATTTAATATGTATTTAATATGTATTTAATATGTATTTAATAGCAATATTTTACTAATGATAAATCGACTACACTTTTATGCTTTTTATATAGCATAATTGGAAATAACCATATAATTGCGTAATAACACCAATCCATGTCATTTCAAGCCCGACGCGTTATTTCGAATACGTGTGTGCGCGTTATTTTAGGTTATAAGTACAGTATAACCTCGATATAACGAACCACAATAAACAGAAATCATTATTATACCGATTTTTTTTTTTTTTTTTAGCTAGAATTCTTGAGTTTAAATTACCCTGATATAGCGGATTTCAAATATAAAACCTTGGTATAACGAATTATGAAGTAATTACAATTTGTATATAAGAAAATTACCTTGATATAATAAAGCAAA